TGAGTGATTGATCAAAATCAAATTAATCACTTCATTCCTTCCCCCTATTAAATGAATTATTTGCAATATAAATTTGAATCTGATTTTTTATTCTGATTAAGGTGTACACTATTAGTGTGATAAACATATAATTGGCATCTGTTATTGATGCATTTAGAAAGAGAAATCACAAACTTGAATATGGTTGAATTTCTGTGATGGTCTAAATGTATTTCTACAGGGGCTACGAAACCAAAAAATAAGAGCTTCCCTTGATCTGATTGTGAATCAAATCTGTAACATTTGTTCCAAAAAAACTGCTGAGGCCATGAAAATTGTACTCAATTAGCAGGTTTTATTTTTTTATTTGAATCAGCAGCCTTATCTTTGGGGGGAAACTAGGTGTAAGCAAAGGGCAATTTTAGAGGACATTCATTTTCTTTTCTGGGAAATTAGTAGTAAATTCTGGGTAAAATCTAGTGACTTTCTTGTGAGTGCCATTTTCTATCATGATCCTTTTAGTGATTTTTACAAAAAAATTCAAATCTTCCAGGGTGACTTATTTGTGATTTGCAGTCACTGGAAAGCCAGTGCCCTGAAATTTCCCCTGGTGCATCTTGACGACCCAGGAGCACGAAACGCACGGAGGCCTCTTAGCGCGTCCGTGCGTTGTGGGCTCGGTCTGAGCCAGCTTAGCAGGCTACGACCATGGACGCGCGTGACATGGCTGTGCCCCAGTCACACAACATCCACTTTCGTTAGCCTTCCCGACACCCTTGCATGGCCCAAGAAGCCGCCTCTCGGCGGTGTATTTAGGCCATGTTTGGGTTTGGGAGGAAGAGGGGGGAACGGCTTGAGCCTTCTCAAAGCCCCCTCTGGCCGGTGAAGGCTGCGGAAAACAGGACATGGGAAAGAAAAAGAAACGGGGGGGAACTCAGGCATGCAACCCTCAGTCGGGATTCATTCGTGGAGCCTGAACGATGCATGAGAAACCCCACTCTCCACTGGAATGCAGACACGGAAAACCTATAGAAACTTGTACAATTCATTATACTTGGGGATGGCGTCTATATCGTTAGTCTCATGACGTTTTACCCGTTTTATGTCATCTGGTTTCAATCCGCAGTTTCATACTAAATTTTTCTAATCAATTTTTTTTTTTTTTTTTTTTTTTTTTTTTTTTTTTTTAGTCTACAGCCTACTATTTACAAACCCATCTTCTTCCAATTCACCCGCAAAGTCCGGAGTCGTGTGCGTGTTTGTGATAACTCTTCAGCACTATAGGGCCGAACGTACAACTTATAGCAGTCTGATTTCCATCTGCCCAGAGTGCATAGGTCCACCCGCGACATCCCCAGAGCAGCTCGTAAGGAAGCTCCGCCTACCCTGAAGGAGTGGCCGCCTAGGCCGTGATAATCTCCTAAAGACAAGACTTCTCTCAGGCGGGTGACTGCCTCCCGTCTCGTCACGTGTCGGCGGCCGTCGACGGCGTTATATCCGAAAAGAGAGGTACGTTTTCCCTCTGCTGCTGAAATCCGGCGTCGCACCGCGAGAACCGGGCAGAGTGCGTGCCTCTGCTCTCCGAGAGTGATTATTTGTGGGGCGCCTGGCGCGCCTGTCTTTGCGTTTCTCACCGTGAGTGTCACCGCCTCGCCTCGTTCGCAAGTCGTAAAGAACACGTCTGTCGACAGGACTGACTCTGCGAAGTTAATCTTGCCTGTCTTTGAGGAATACGTGAGTTCTGCCAGTCGCGCCAACCCCCAAAACGCGACGATGAACAGGTCCAGGATTGCCTTATCGAAATCATCTCCCCCTCTCAGGGTCGTCCATAGGTGTATCATATGCCACAGCATGACAGGCAACTTCCGGCTCGCTTTCGTTGTGAGTTCGTCTTCTTGCGACGAGGCCTTCAATATGAGATTTATCCTCGTATCGTTAGAGACAGGGAAAGCCTTGTTATGGTATGTATGCCACGCCCTCAGGCCAGCTAGGTATTTCCGCAGCGATGTGGCGGAAATCTTTCCGGCGTTGGAGGATACCGAGTTTCGACCGGCCCAGATGCAGAAGTTTTCTAATGTCGTTTCGTCAATAGGTAAGGAAAACCTTAACACGTTTTCTGATTTCTGGAACGCGATGAACTTTTTCACCGCGCTGTTGTAACCTAACAACGTCGTCGGCTTCCAACTGTGGAGTATGTGCAGGTCTGCCCTCGACGGGAGTCGGAGTGTGGATCCGTCTTTTGTGAACGCTTCAATTTTATTTAAATGTATCATGTTTGTCGACGTGGAAATCATATTGAATTTGTAGCAAAGAGAATCGCAAATAAATGTCTTCAGGAATGTTAATAACGGCTTAGTAGAGCAGAGAACCAATTCGTTGATGAGTGTTGACAAAGTACAAAAGGCGGGGATGAGTATTACATGGCTCAATAGATTATATACACACAAAAATGGATAACTGTATAGGTTCATTTAACTATGAGACATGAAAACCTCTAAATCTACTGGGATCGGGAAGGTTACCCTGTTTGCAGGCGTGTGTGGCGCAACGACCCCTCTCGACAGCCCGTCTGCCGAATTTTCCCTCGAGATAACCCTTTTAGGGGTTATGTCTACTTTGAGCCCAATCAGCAACCGCTGTATTTCTTTCCATTCGAGGTTTGAGTGATAGTCCTTTGATTTCCTCGACCGCAGGACGCTTTCCGTCGTCGTGTTGTCTGTATAGACGATGAAATTATTACCCTCTAAACCGGGTCTTATTGCTTGTAGCATAAGTATTCCTATCCGTATGGCTACTGTTTCTAGCCACGCGATTCCTCTCGGAGGGACAGCTTCTTTCCACTCTGGTTTCAGCTTTAATTGCGACCATCTTTCTCCTATCAGGACACCGATTCCGTAACTAGTGGATGCGTCTCCTACCCACCCGATCTCGATTGGTGTCGTCACTGGGCAAAGTCTCGTGTGTGTGTAATTGTTCAGAGTATCTAACCAAAACTGAAGATCGTCGCATACATCTTCAGGGATTTCTCTGGTTGCCCATCGCTTCTTCCATTGATTCATCCACCTGTAGACGCTTCTTATGTAGCAACAAAGTTGGGGTAAAAGGAAAGAAACGTGATTTAAGCGTCCCGCTAGCACTTCCGCGTCGTTGAACTTGAACATGGCTCCTTTTACTAGGAATGCCAAGATCTGACCCTTCCGTTCTTGAAGTTTCTTCTCTGTCAGTCGGACCGTTTTCTCCGTGCCGTTCCAAATAAAACCTATAAACTTCTGTTCACTGGCGAACATGGTGCTTTTTTCTTCGCTCGTAGCTACGCCTAAACTGACTGACCGTGATGTGATGGATTTCATGTCGCAGGCCGATCCCAAATTCTTGATGAACAAATTGTCATCGACCCATCGAAAGATCTTCACTACGTCAAATTCGTGTTCCATAATCCGCTTCCAAGCATCCGCTGGTACCCCGAAAGAGCCACATCCTGCTACCCCCCCGAAGGTAATCCTTGTGTCGACGTACAAACCTCCGTTCAAATCTTTCACCATCAAAAATGGCCATTGCGACTCGAGCGTGGGAATTTGTCTATACGCTTTGGCCCAGTCAAAGAGGGCTAATTCATATCGTGATTCATCGTTCCTAAAGAATTCTGAAACAATTCTGAAGTCGTCCCAGGTCGTTGAGAAGTCCAACTTATTTACGAAAGAGTTTACCGAAGGTGTCTCTTTATTTCGCTTAGGGAATGACAAATTATTGATCGGTCTCATCTTGCCGTCCGCATTTACGACCGAGCCTAGAGGGCTGGTTCGAAAAAAGTCAAACCTCCTCGCTACCTCTTCGTGAGAGAAAGGTCCGAACATTCTTCCGTTTGCGACTTCTTCTTCAATCGACTTCTGAATCTTTTCTCTCGAATTCTCTGCTGATGAATGGTTGTCGGGTGTGAACCACCGCAAGGACCCCAACCTGTGTTCTGGGATACCTTGATCGAATCCGAACTTAAACCCATCTAAAACATGGTTCAAACCTGGGAGCAGGCCAGCGGATTCCAGTGCTGACTGCCATTTTGGCAAATCCATTTCACATTTCACGCCCAAAGGCCAAATTAATCTGAAAGCCAAATTTTTACAAAAACAAAAGCCAATAAAAGAAATGATTACAATGTCCAGATGAAAAACCGCGATCAATAAGAAAAACAGTCTAAAAACTCATATCTACACCTACTGTTTATTGGTTACATTTGGCTCATCTTTGCTCCCTCCACCTCTTGCACCTGAGTCAAAATTGGAGTTTGCTCCCTTAAAACGTTTGCTCCCGCCGACAAAACCTCGGTTTGGATTAGCGCTACCTTGATTGTTTTGGTAGGGTGAATTATAAGGATGTTGGTTGTAATGTTGTTGGTTGTAGTTGGCGTAGTCGAACTGGTTCTGATTGTTGTTGTTGTTGTTGAAATTTTGATAAGGATTTCTGTTGTCGAAACCGAAGGGCCTATTGCCCATATTTTGTTGCGCGTTCTCATTGAACCAGCGCTTCTCTCGTCCTCTTTCTTGATGGTTAGGCTGTTGTTGTTTCTCTTTGTTGAAGCTAGATTGATATGAAGCCGATTTGTGGAAATCTGGTCTTCTTAAGCCTGTATCTGGGTCGAAACCGGCGTGCGACAAACCTGGAGCGTAATTGTTATCTTTCCAACTCGCTTCTCCAAGCGATCTTACTGTGCTGTAGCATTGCTCTACCACTACCATTTGTTTCACGGAAATGTCAGGGATTGCGGCTCCGTCTTTCGACGGTACCCGGTGAGCGAAGGCGTTCATTCGTGTTTGCATATCGTACCTGAATGCGGTCATAAAGCCATACACATCCGCGATCTCATCGCAGTTTTCTTTATGGATTCTGAGTTTTTCCGCGAAGAGCTTCTTGTTGTAGACGTCACGTAACATTATGTAAAAAGACCGGTGATTGTTTGTCCATGAGGAATGCGACTGAGTCCATTCGTCATGATAGGCTAGGCCGCGGTACGCTTTGTCTTCCGACGATTTCGATGGCTTTATAGTTAAGTGTGCTGCTATAGCCTTCTTTTGCCATTCTCTGTCGAAGATCGTTAACGGTAACGGGGCCTTCAATTTCTTGATATTCTCGTCGAAATACGGCGTAAAGCCAATATCTTGGTGACTGGTAACTGTTCCTACAGCGTAGACCAGATTGTCTTCAAGCTCCGTAACCGTCACAGAAGTTGCGATGACCGTCTTTGGTTCAACGGTCGATAGAACCGGCAGCGCGGATGATGAGCGAGCTAATTTTGGCGTTTCCGTCGACGTTGAGTCTTCTAAATCCTTGTAGGCTGTCACAAGGATCTTTGTTAAGATGGTGTCTCCCGCAGCTTGCGCTTCTTTGATCTTCTCCCATATGTGTGATCTTTGATCCCCCACGCTCGGTTCAGGTAGCACTGAGGTCGTGTCGACTACCTCTTTCAAGGTCTCTGCGGTCAAGACTAATAATTATAAACCGGCGAGGATTCAGCTCCTTATCTCATGCCTGCTTTACGGGGTTTTTTTTTTTTTTTTTTTTTTTTTTTTTTTATATACTTACGCGGTACTTTAGTTATCAGGTCGAGAGATTCCTCTCCCTCGCTGTCATGGGTCTCGCTCGGCAGTGTCTCTCCTGCGTTTCTTCCTAGAAGGTTTATCACTTCCTTAGATGGTGGACCTTTGGTCGCCAATCTGTCTTGCCCTAGCGTGGTGGCGTCTATGGCTGCGCTTTGTGCTGCTGCTTGTGATGTGGTGTCCGCTTCTTTACGAGTACCTGTTTTGGAGCGTGTTATCTTTTGAGTGTTCTCCATCTATGCGATATGGGTGGAATAATGGTTATTAGAACCGTTCTGGACATGCGGCATGTAAGTCTAAACAATGCTTACCTCAACGATTCACGGACTCAGGGAATGGCCTCCTGGTTATAACTTTGTGTCAGAAATCGATTTTCTGGATATATTCACAAGTGTCGGTCCTTTGCGTCAGGGAATTACGAGCACCTGGAAAAAGAGTACGAGTTCAGACTATGTGCATGGAGTTTACATCGGAAACATCAGGGGATATCTACCTGGTATACCGGTCTTCAGGGGGAACCTGGTAAGTTTAAACTAGCCTGGTAATCGCTCTTCAGGGTCGTCAGAGTGTGATAAGTAGATAATAATGTGTTAGTGTTTTCGATAAATGTGTGTGGGATGCGTGAAAAAAGGGGGATATGTGTCGGGAAGAGCTAAGAGGAAAGGTCTAGTCGACCTCACTGGGGAATCGTTGAGGGGATAGAAGGACGAGTGACACAGGGGTGTGGTACTTTATCCCATCTTGACGACCCAGGAGCACGAAACGCACGGAGGCCTCTTAGCGCGTCCGTGCGTTGTGGGCTCGGTCTGAGCCAGCTTAGCAGGCTACGACCATGGACGCGCGTGACATGGCTGTGCCCCAGTCACACAACATCAATGGGCCTTCATGATTATGCGATCTTGAGGACGCGATATGACCTTCAACCAGGATGAATTGCTTCAAGACTTATGGTCAAACCCGAAATGTAAAATGAATAGTTTCAAGACTTATAGTCACCGAAGAACGCGTATATATCATGTGTATCAATAGGGACAATTGATCATTCAAGGAAAGTTGAGTTTAAGCTAATTATCCAGAAACAAACTTGGACTTATCTTCCTATCTGCTTCAACATGACAACTCATGACAAAGACAACTCAAGTAGGACAATATAAAACATAAAGCAACATGAAGCACTGTGAGATATGAGCCAATGAAGGGCAATGTAACACCAATTTGAAAACTATTCGCCATAAGGATGACAAGAGCATTGCAAGGCGTTCAGTAGACGCTCAGTCGTTTTAAGGTATAAAGATTGTAAATCAAGAAACCAGACCTTGAAATCATTTTGGGATGATGAATGATGATCAACTGCAGCCGGCACAGGGATGAGATAACGGCACAGAAGTACCAAGATAGAATCGAGAAGTAAGGGCAGTTCGCGGAGTGAATTTGAGAACAGATTTCGATTGAGATCATACCCCCAATCTTCCTTGTAAAGTGACGTCAAGAAGCTCGCAAGGTTTGCAAGACGCCCAGAAATTGTGTTTGGAGCTTCACTTAACAGCTGCAGTGAGTTCGAATCGATCTCTGGATCTAGAATAAACGATGGTTTTTCGGGAGCCGAATTCCTTATCTTGACTAGGAAGACTCTTGTCAATTTGACGATCGGTATAGCCAATCTAGCAACTTCAAGAATGTGTTCTCTCCGAGTGCTTATGATCTTTAGCTCATCAATCGAAACCCCTTCGTGCTTCAAATCGATCCGGTTGGGATCGACGAGTTCTGCTAGCTCTTTCAGTGCAATATTGACCCATCGTTCGGACCAAAATTTGTCTTGTAGGATCGCCAAGTCAGTTTTTTTGGAGGTTTCGATTATGCTATCAAGGTAACTAATCGTATCATTTGCCATCTCTCGTGTTTCTTTTATCCATTCGGACCTCTTCGCTCGATGCTCCAAGTTTTTCGGATGCTTGCGTGAGAGCTGGCAGGTTTCGATCACGTCAATACAGCTCGAAAATAGTGGACAGAGATCCATTGTTATGATACATGCGACTGCCGAGCGCAATAGACGAGATCTGAAGTCTTTACATCGTCCTAAATTGCGCTCATTGGTGCAGACTCCTTCGAACGGGGCCGAAACGGACTCGACGGAACTTGTCGTTTTCGTGAGGGTCTCATGGAATTTGGGTACGATTTCTAAAATCAAATCGAGGTCTGGGTTTGGTTGCTCGCCCGAGTTTTGCAGGTCGAGTGCGAGCAAGAGAGAATTGATGTGGTCTTTGATTGCAGGTAGAAGGCTCGATTCCAGCTCATCTATCAATTCGTTCCTCCCAGTCAGTTCATCGATCATAAGATCATTAGCTGCTGGCCGCACTGTGGCCCCCGCCCGCAGTGCATCCATAAATTGGCAAGCCAGCCCGTCAAGTTCCCAGGTAACATCATCTACTTGAGATCCAAAAAGATTGGATTAGTTGTATGCGTTCCGAGGTAGCTTTTGATCTGGAGCTTACATATTTCCGAATCCGACATCGCTTACGACTTTTACTTCTCTGAAGCCTTTTCCTGGCCGGCCCGGTTGAAATGGGGTTTTTCTGTCTTTCTTTAACTGCTATCCATTTTACCAACCGCACTATTGCTCAAGTGCCAAAGTAGCTCCAAACCACCATTGGTTCCAACTTCCAAGGTCGAATAAAAAGCCGGTTCATCGAGTCTAGGTAATCTCCAGTAGAATAGTGCGGACTGTTTGAGCTTGGGCAGATTGTCGGAACAAACTTCTTCCCAGAAATTACATAACTAAACATGGCACTGGCACGGATTTTCGTCTCGATTATGCAGGAGATTGACCGAATTGAGCATCAGCTGCAGCATATGTGGTTAACCAAAAAACCTGCCAGTGCCTAGGGCTCAGTGAAGTCTGACAGTAATTTCAAGACTGCTAATTAGCGTCGGAAGCATGAATGGAGGACTTCCCGTCGATCTGGAACCCTTGATTTGGAAGGTCTAATCCTAGATCCCAAACTCAATTTGGTGAAGAGAATCAAGTGACATTGACTTCTCATCAGCAAACAAGATTTGGAATCTGGCTTTAGGAAGGCTAAATCTAGGATCCCAGACCGACGGGAAGTCCTCCAATACCCATAGTGCTCAATGTCAAATCAAACTACACTTAAAAAAAGGCCCAACAGCATTGGAAGGTGTATTCTTACCTCCCTCCTACACTGAGCTCTCCACAACCATGCCCACATTTAGTGAGAAATGTCAATTGTCCCCTGTTTGTGTAGAGGGTGTCCAAATAGTAAACTTGCCACATCAAGCAACAACTTGCATTAGTGGGGTTCATGATTGGCATTTTTGATAAAGCCATTTATCCCAAACCAGCAGCTGCATGGTGTCACTGTCACTACAAACAAAGCCTATTTTGACCCAAGGATAGATTATTAGATAGCACTCTGAGCAGGGGAAATGGGTCAATTTCCTGGCACTTTTTTTTGCAAAATGGATCAGGAGTAGAAATTGTAAAGATGACAAATCCTGTACTGTAGTATTTGTATGCTTATAACTAGATATGCTTCTACCAAACATCCCACTACTACTTCTATGCTGGCCTCACTAAGTTCATCTCCTCACCAAATAACAACTCTATTATTCTCACTGTCATATCCTCATCGTGAGTCTAGACAGCATTGCAGATATTCAGTCCCTGTCTCCCTCAACAGAAATTAGGCTAAAATGTTAATGTCCTATTTTAGGCAAAAAACACCAATGATGTTGGTATCTCATATTCTCCTTTCTTGTTCTGGGGTTGTAAAGGGATTGAATGAGTTTGGTCCAAAAAGACAATTGCCAAATCAACCTCAAGGTAAATTTTAGTTCCAGTTGGGTCAGGGACAAATTTGACCCATAGCGCCCAACTCCAACATCACTTTGAATACTGCACCATGAAAAATTTGAGGTCAGTACATGTCAGGTGACATGAAGCTAACTCCTGCCTTTATTCCAGTGTTACTTCAAAGTCAAAGGGTTGGGACTCCCTGATGACCACAAAGGACAAATTGTCATTTGAGCAGACAAGCACCAGAGTAACAATGGAGTTGTAACATATGTCACTTCATGTCACCTGACACCTACTGCCCTCAGATATTTCCTGGTGCTGGGTGTAGGCTCATGCTTCACTAAGTCTCTTGTGGTGAGAGTGCCTGCAGATAGGTCTGGGCAGCAGCCAAGTCTCATTGCATAAAAACACAAAGTTGGCCTGAGCAAGATGACATTATGAGGCCTGTTTTTGTACTTTCACATCTGGTTTCCATGTCATTCTTCTCAAAATTTTATTGTACTATTTTCTTGTTCTCTAGTGGCATTGTTTCTGTATCTTATTAATTGTATTTCCATCCAATCTCTAAAAA